ATATATATATATATATATATATATATATATATATACACACATATATATACATATACATTTGTGAATCATGTGCGTAGAGATGATGATTAAATCCAGAGGAGCTGATGAAATCACCACATGAGACTGTAGAGAGCAAAGAGGGGCCAGGACAGGTGTGCCTTGGGGTACACCCACCATTAACCATGGAGGGGACCTTCCTGTTAGTGATTAGGATCAAATGAGATAAAATATATAAGGCACTTGGTGCCATACAAACGCTAACTATAATTCTCTTCCCTCCTCTGATATACTGAGTTGTACTTAGCCACCCAGGTCCAAGGCTGCTCCCATGCCTCCAAAGCAGTTAGGTGGCATAGAGTGGTGATAGTGGATAGAGTGCTGAACCTTGATTCAGGAAGCCCCAAGTTCAAATTCTGACTCATACACTTACTAGCTTTGTGACCCTGGGCAAATTACTTATTGTGTCTGTTTGCTCATCATTAAATGGGGATAATAATAGCACCTCCTCCTGGCACCATTGTTGAGGGTAATATGAGATATTTGGAAAGTGTTTTACAAAACTTAAAGTGCTGTATGAATACTGGCTAGCATCATTATTAAATGGCAGATTGCTTATCTTGATTGGAGGGGAATAGTGACAAGGACAATGCAAAAAGAATAGATGATGGAAAACAGCAGATACATAATAGAGATCTTCAGTTTCACGTCCAACCCTCTTTTTCTGTCCTATTATGTATGTGGAAATGCCCATTTTATTTGCTGTTTATTGAGTTCAGAATAAAAATAAAGTAAAGAAAAAGGAAATTAATGAGTAATCCATGGCTAGAAATTTCAGTTAACTTTGGATTTCCTTTAGTAGTTACTAATTATTTTTTAGCCAAATTTAACCCAATTTTTAAAAAAAGTTTACCTTTCTTGAGTATAAACTGCCTGTTGTTAGATGGAAGAATTATCCACCCGTGGTAGATAATTGAGAGGATCTTGATTCCTCCTCATGGCTGAGAGGGGGATGGAGCTTCCCCTTATCCTGCCCCCACCCCCACCCCCATCCCAACCCCCATTTGTTGGTTTTCAGTAGCAAAATTTGTGAGGAACAATGCCCATTCTATGAATACTCATTCATTACTTTTCCTCTGTAAGCTCTACGTATGAATCTTTGTTTTTCAGAGACTTGCCATTGCTAAGGAATTTGGAGACAAAGCAGCTGAAAGGAGAGCATACAGTAACCTAGGGAATGCCCACATCTTCCTGGGGCGATTTGATGTCTCGGCAGAGTACTACAAGTAAGTGATCTTCCTGGGGGCAGTCTGGCTGTCAGGAGGCTCGAGCTAAGATTGTCCCTAATATGGTATTTGATTCCCTGGGGACTCAAGTTTGAAGGCCAAATCATTTGAGGAGATAGTATTTGCTCTGGGCCTTGAGGGGATTTTCAAGGATTCCTTCAAGGCCTTAGAAACAATGTCTTGGTCCAAAAAAATGTGGTTGTCGTTCAATCATATCAGTGTCTCTGACTCTTTGTGGCCCTATTTGGGGTTTTCTTGGCAAAGATACTGCAATGGTTTGCCATTCCTCTCTCCAGCTCATTTTACAGATGACGAAACTGAAGCAACAGTGTTAAGTGACTTGCCCAGGGTCACTGGTAAGTGTGTAGTAAGAGTCTGCAGCTCAATTTGAATTCAGATCTTCCTGACTCCAGGCCCCCAGCTCCATCCACTGAGCCACCTAGCTGCCCAAGATATCTTAGGAAGAGACTTTGTTAGACCAATGTTTGGTTCAATCAATTCATCAACAAGTAATTATTAAGCACTTACTATTTGCCTGGCACAGTGCTAAGCAATGGAGATACAATGACAAAAGTGAAGCCCCTGCCCTCAAGGAGCTTACTATCAATATAGGAAGCTACAAAGGGAATGAGATGTCTCAGAGAGATGAAAATATGGGACAAAAGATCCAGGGGCCCAGGTCACTGCTTTTCATTCCCCTACCTCTCTCCCATACGTAGCCAAAATGCCCACTGGAAAGGGTCCCGATCCTTATTTAGGCAAGAGACAGGTATGGACCTTGGAGGCCATCAGCTCCAACTCCCTCATTTTAAAGATGAGTAAACTGAGGCTTAGAGAGGTTACCTAACTTGCCAGATTTGATGGCCTTTTCTCCGTCTTTATCCTCCGTGACCTCTATACAGCCTTTGACGCTTTGACTGCCCTGTCTTCCTGGACATTCTCCTGTTTGGGTTTTCGTGACACTGTGCTCTCCTGCTTCTCCTCCTCCCTGTCTAACCGTTCTTTCTTAGTCTCCTTTGCTTATTCATCATCCATGTCACTCATGAACAGTAGGTGCACACCAAGGCCTTGTCCTGGATCTTCTTCTCTTTGCTCTCTATAGTCTTTGACTTGGTGACGTTAGCTCCTCTGCTATCATCTCTAACTACCATCTCTATGCACGTGATTTCCAGATCTGTATTTCCAGCCCAGTCTCTCTGCTAAGCTCCAGTCTCATGTCACAAATTTCTTATCGGACATTTTGAACTAGATATTCCGTTTGTTGTTGTTGTTCAGTCATTCATCTGTGTCTGGCCTTCATGGCCCTGTGGTCCATTCTGTCCATGAGGTTTTCTTGGCCAAGATACTGGAGTGGTTTGCCATTTCCTTCTCCAGTGGATTAAGGCAAACAGAGGCTAAGTGACTTGCCCAGGGTCGTACAGCTAGTGAGTATCTAAGGCTGGATTTGAATTCAGATCTTCCTGACTCCAAGCCCGATGCACTACACCACCTAGCTGTCTCCTGAATGTTCTGTGGGCAACTTAAACTCCACATAGTTAATTATCTTTCTCCAAAAACCCACCCCTTTCTCATACTTCCTAGTTGCTCTTAAGGGCATCACCATCCTCCCAGTCAGCCATATTCACAACTTGAGTATCATCCTCAGCTCTTCACTCTTAGCCCACATATCCAATCAGTTGCCAAATCTTACAGTTTTTCCACAAAATCTATCATATGTCCCCTCATCTCTACTCACCCAACCACCACCCTAGTTCCGGTCCTCATCACCTCCCACCTAGACTATTGCAATTTCCTCCTTTTTGGTTTCCCTACCTCAGCCACTCCTCATTCCAATCCAACCTCCACATAGTCGCCAATGTGATTTTCCTGAGCATAGGTCTACTCATTATCACCGCCCTACTCAATAAACCCCAGTGGCTCCCTGCCATCTTCACGATCAAATGTAAACTCCTCTGTTTGGCATTTAAAGTGTTTTAGAACCTGGATCCTTCCTACCTTTCCAGTTGTCTTATTCCCTCTTTATTCCCTCTTGGATCTGGCCTCCTGAGTGTCACCCATATCTCCCCACTCTGTGGCTTTGCACTAGCAGACCCCAGTGCCTGGAATGCACTACCTCCTTACCTTGGACTCTTGGAATTCCCAGTTTCCTTCAAGCCCCAGTTGACAGGCCACCTACAGGAAACTTTTCCTGATCCCCACCCCTTCTAGTTGCTCGTGTCCTCCCTCCTAAAACTACCTTGTTTTCGTTTTGTTTCAATTAGATATATTCTTGTATATGCACATGTTGTCTCTACCATTAGAAGTCCTTCAGGACGGCAGTTTTTCACTTTTGTCTTTATATCTCTCATGCTTAGCACATTGCCTGGCACATAAGAAGCATTTAATAAATGCTTTGTCCGTGGATTTCATTAATTAGTTAATTAAATAAAAACTCAAGTGACTCCTCATCACCTCCAGGATCAAATATATAATCCTTTGTTTGGTGTTCAAAGCCCTGCATAACCTGTCCCTCTTCCCCACCTTTCTAGTCTTTTTGAATCTTAGACCCTCCAAAGGACCCTGTGATCCAATGGCCCTGGCCTCCTTACTGTTCCTCAAATAAGACACTCCATCTCTCCATTCTGGGTCTTTTCATGGGCTGTCCCCCATTCCTGAAATGCTGTCCCTCCTCATCCCTGCCTCTTAGCTTCTTTCAAATTCCAGCTAAAATCCTACCTTCTATGGAAATCCTTTCTCAATCCCACTTAATTCTAGCACCTTTTCTCTGTTGATTATTTGCAGTTTATCCTGTATATAGTTTGTTTAGGCATAAATTGTTTGTATGTTGTGAGCTCAGATCAAATACTGCCTTTTACCTCTCTTTGCATCCCCAGTTCTAAGCACAGTGGCACACAGTAGGTGCTTAATAAATGTTTATTGACTAAGAGAAGCAAACTCAAGGGTTCTTGATCCTTTGGGAAAGCTTCTGAAAAAGTCAGGAGTTCTTTTGATGCTTACTCCTCATCACTATCCTCCCATTCCCGCCCCCACCCCAAACCTTTTCTCCTGGGGAGCCCTTTTTCAGAGGCAGACTAGAAGATATCTTCGATAAACCAAACAAGTTGCTTGTCCCCTGGTGGCCATTCTAGGAAGTGTAGGAGATGACAATGTCCCAGGTGTTCACCCAAAGAAGATAAAACTATCCACTGAAATACTAGCAGGGACACCCAGATGCAGAGGTATAAAGAAGTGCCTCTTCCCAAGGGGCACAAGCTGCTTTAAGGGCCTACCTGAAAGGATGCTGGGCAGCAGTCATTACACTTCCCTTTGAAGGAAACTCCAGTGGTTCATATGGTTTTTTCTTAAACCTCTCCAACCCAGGCCATATCCACAGCCCTCACAACACCCCTAAACTTGGCCACACCCCTATCTTTACCATATCAGTGACCCTGAACATGTTCCCCCTCCTGAATACACTGGCTATCTTGACAGTGACCCTATTCTGAGCATGGCCCTACCCACCCACCCACCTTCCTGACCCTCCACAATTTTAGCTTTGGGATGACAATTAAGTGAGCAGGAGAGAATAGGGAGGAATCATTTGACCTTCTACCTACAAAACAGAACAAAGTCATGAAGCTTTTTTGTCATTCAACCTGGTCTCCATCCATTTCTCATGCAATCCTGCCATATCACCAACATGAGGTGCTCTGGATCTCAATTTTTTCATATGTATCATCAGTTCTAGAGCTGGGAGAGTCCTTAGAGGCCATCTATAAGGCTAACCCTTTCATTTTACAGAGGAGGAAACTGAGGCCCAAGGAGATTGGGTAACTTGCCCAAGGTCACACAGGTAGGAAGTATCAGAGGGATGAAAGGAGGTGATTCAAACTGATGGTCTCTGAGGTCCCTCTTAGTTCTAACATTGTGTGACTCTTTCCTGGCTGTCCCAGATCTCTTTCCTGGCAGCCTGGCCTGATGGGGAAGATCTTTTTGTCCTAAATGCAGAAAGACCCTCCAGCTGTCCCGACAACTGAAGGACCAGGCTGTGGAGGCCCAGGCCTGCTACAGCCTTGGCAATACCTACACACTTCTGCAGGACTACGAGCGTGCCGTCGAGTACCACCTGCGACACCTGCTCATCGCCCAGGAGCTGGGAGATAGGTAGATATACCTGCTTGTCTCCAGCTCAGGCTGCCCTCGTAGACAGTCAAGGGGCCTGCTCTGTCAGATGCTGGGGGTGGGGGTGCGGGGGTGGACTGCGGGAGAAGAGGCCTGGGATGAGGGCAATAGTTAATGACCATAAAAAAGAGAAGATGGCCAGGGAAGGGGTACGTATGTGTGTGTGTGTGTGTGTGTGTGTGTGTGTGTGTGAGAGAGAGAGAGAGAAAGAGAGGGAGAGAGGGGGGAGGAAGGGAAGGAGAGAGAGAGGGAGGGAGAGAGAGAGACACAAAGAGACAGAGAGAGAGAGGTGACTAGGTTAGGAAGTTGATCATCAGGCAGATTCTAAGTTTCTGGAGGACAGGGCTGATGAGTCCTATCAAACCTCCAGCAGTGCTCCCTAGGTGGTCACACCTACACTCTCTGAAGCCCAAGATTTTGTCCCTAACAGTTCTCAGCCCTGTGCCCCGCATCTCTAATGCTCTAGTCCTCTGCCAGAAGAGGCAGGACAGCAATTGCAGCAAAACTTTGAATTCTGTCCTGCCACTAGATGGAGCAACGACCTCAAATTTGTAAAGAAGGGACAAGAGATATTTGGGGGAGCTGGTGTTCCAATGTCAGAGGAACCCCTGGTATAAGGGGAGGAACCCCTGGTATAAGGGGAGGAACCCCTGGTATAAGGGGAGGAGTCCCTGAACTTTGCTATTCCCCAGTTGGGGGACACCTTAGGACTTGGAGCAGCAGGAAATGGAGACCCTGTAAGGCCAGATCCATTTGGCTTGGCCAGACTTTGGGTCAGAACCATTTAACTGGGCACTTAACTCACCTATGCAAGATGATTCCCCCAAACAATCTGGCTGACCAAACATTTTATACTGACCCTTCCCACATTCAGTGGCTCATACATTAATTCATTCACCGTATTCATATTTGAGCACGAGTTATGTGAAAGAACCTAAACAGACAAACAAAAGTCCCTTTTTTAAAGGAGAACACCCACCAGAATTGTGACTGGGGCTGACCTTGGAGAAGGCTGCCTTGTGGTGGGTCTCTTCCTGGGGAAGAGAGGAAAATAGCAGGGACCTTAAACCCAGGCTGACTTTGGAGAAAGTACCGGAGCTCTGCGCACTGTCTTCCTTCTGTCTGAAGAATGCTTCCTTCAATTCACTGCTTTGGTGATGTCAGAACCATTATGTGAGGAATTTAAAAATAGACCCTTCCATTCAGAAGTCCCTTTTAGCTTGTTGATCAGATGTTGTTTGCTGTGGGTTGAGGGAAGAAGGCTAAAGAGAAAGAGGGTGATGCAAGAGTTCCTGGATCATTAGCCTCCCTCCTGTCTCACTGTGGAATGAATGGGTCTTCTTGATGTTTCTTGTTTGGCAGAGTGGGTGAGGGCCGAGCCTGCTGGAGTCTGGGAAATGCTTATGTGTCCCTAGGAAGTCATGAACAAGCAGTGACCTTTGCCAAGAAGCATCTTGAGATCTCCCACGAGGTGAGATGAGTCCCTCCCACCCAAAGATGTTTAGTTTGCAAATCAGTCCTCCTGATGAGCTTCTGTGGTATCCTGGGTAGACTTTGAAAGTCCCTAATCAGTGATTTTCTTTAAGGACATTTTAAATCCTCTATCTTCAGGGAGAATAGGGTATGGGGATTAGATGATCTTAAAGGATCCTTTCAGCTTTAGGATCTAGGACCTAGATGAGTGCCTGAAGGATAAAGTTGAAATTCCTTTGGTCCAGTGCTCAGAGAGGATGAAAGAGCCCTGGACTTGAAGTTAGGAAAACTGGGTTAAATTCCAGCACTAACATATGTAACTGGATGACCCTGAGCAAACTCATATAGCAGAGAGTGCACTGGATTTGAAGTCAGAAAGACCGGGGTTCAAATTCCACTTTGGATATTGACTACTTGTGTGATGCTAGGCAAGACATTTAAACTTGCTGTACCTCAGTTTCCCTCTCTGTAAAATGTAGAGGTTGGGCTCAGGGGTCCCTGAAGTCCTTTTAGGTTCTAAATCTATGACTCTATGACCTCTGGGATCCCTAATCCTGTTATTTGAAAAATAGGGATAATAATATTTATATTACCTGCCCTTTTTTTAAGCTTACATTTATTATAAAGCACTTTAAGGTTTGCAAAGTGCTTTACATACATTTTCTCATTCAATTCTCACAAAAACCCTGTGAGGGAGATGCTATTGTTATCCCCATTTTAAATCTGAGCAAACTGAAACAAGGAGAAATCACCTTACTTTTTCAGAATTACACAGCTAGCAAGTATTTGAAGCAAGATTTGAACCCAGGTCTTCCTGATTCCAGCTCCAGACTCTTGTACCACACATATACCCTTTTAGCTCTCATGTTCTCCCCCTCACCTGAATTGCCTTTGTGACTATCTAATCTTACCCACTCTTCAAGGCCTGACTCAGCTACTGCCTCCTCTGGGAAGCCTCCTCTTACTACCAAAGTCTGACTAGGTTTTCCCTTTTTTCTAAATTCTCCCAGCACTTAAAGTCTGCATTACTCGTTTGGTACTTAACATAAACTTCCTTGTGTCTTTAGTTAGGTTTTTATTTGTATGTGTCTTATCTCCCCAACTGGACCAAGATCCATGAGGCCATGTCTCAAATGTTTCTATATTCCCCATGGTATCTAGCACTCTGATCTTTAACCCTTCTCTTCTTATTCTGCCCAACAACAATCCTGGGGAAGATAAAGAAAGAAAACTGTTAAAGGGATGGAGGTCAGGACATGAGTAAGGTGTGGCCTAGAACAGGGGTTCATTACTTTTTTGTGTGACATAAAGCCTTTGCTGTCTGGTGAAACCTATGGAGCCCTTCTCAGAAAAATGTTTTTTAACAAAATAAAATACATAGGATTACAGAGGAATTCAATTACATTGGAATTTAGGCATCAACATATTTTAAAAAACAAAAAACAAGTTTGTGAACCCCTGGTTAAGAACGCTTGGCCTAGAAGCCAAGGGAGTGCCCTTGGTGAGGAAGGCTAGGCCTGGTGGTGACTGAATGGAGCTCAGTCCTTTGACATTTGTCTACAGAGCGGAGTGATTTTCATTCCCAGACAGTTCAGAGCCCCAGGCATCTTGGATCTTGGTATGTTCTGCAGAGAGCAGGGCTCTTTGTAGAGGAAGAGGGAGGGAGGCAGGGGAAATGTGGGGAAAAAGGCACTCAACCATGAGAGAAATCACATTGTGCCTAGAGGCCCTGCTCAGTAACTGTGTGGACCTTTGTGTTTCTGTTGATTGGCAGGAATGGGGTGCCCCCCCCAACTCAGCAAGGGTAACGATGCCCTGGGCGGGGCTGGGCTGTCTTCTGTCTCCATCGTTGAGAAAGCACACTGACTCCTCAGCTCTAAGCTTGGAGAGCTGCCTGCTAGCTCCAAGCTTCCAGCTGGGGAGGCCAAGCCCGGGGGAAGCACAGCCTGGCCTTCTTAAAAGGGGCTGACAACAATACTGAGGCTGTCTGCCGCTTCCCAGGCTTGGAAAAAAGGGGGCAGGGAGGCCCTAGAAGGGCCTTAGAAAGGGGGGGAAGGATCTTAGAAGCTTGCAGGTGCTACATGGGGACATTTTGGGGTTAGGGCCCCCCAAACCAACAAGTGCCAGGAGGGAAGAAGAGGGCTGTAACGAGAGAAGTTGCAATCAGTTCATCAGCACGTATCTGTTGACCCCATCCTCACAAAATCACAGCTCCTTGATGTGCTGACGTAGTTATCAGTTCTTCTATTGTAGGGCTAGCACTGTGCTTGGTACAGGGAAAAGGGAGGAAGGACAGGAAAACACATGGCCTCTGCTCTCAAGGGCACTTATGATCTAGCTAGGAAGATAAGATTCACATGAAACAAAAACAAAAAAGCCAAGGTTATATGTAAACAAAGACTTCACGTGCTACTGGGGCTCAGCAGGGGCTGAGGAGTGGTGAAGAGGGAATTTGAACTGGGTGGGAAGCCTTCAAGGGTGAACCTGACAGTGTCTCTGTCAGTCCCCCTTTCTTCTCAGCCTAGACTGTCTTACCACTGTGTGTCTTCGGACTTTTTTTCTATCTTCTCTGTGCCCCAACTAAATAAATGATTTCTTGGTGGGTTAGGAAGCAGGAAGAGGAAGGAAGTTAGGAAGCTAAGGAATTTTACCTCAGGCTACTAAGGTCTGGGAAGAAAGAAGAGCCCAAATATTGAGCAAAATGATGACACCCTCCTTTTCTCATCTCCTGTCGGGGCATACGAATAGCATCCTATCTTCTAGAAAAAGTCAAGGACGGCACCGTGGCATCAGAGAGTTTCCCATTCATTTCTAAGACAAACTGGAATTTCAATGTCACACTATTAGGGAACAAAATTCATCATTACATAAATACTCTACTCTCCGAAGGATTTTGTTAAATGGTAGTTTTCTCTATAAGGATGGCCCTGAAAAGATTCTAAAAATACTAGTTAATGACGTTAAGATATAGCATAAAGTAGAAGACTGATAAATGCTTGTTGAATTTGATGGAATTAAAAGAGATCTGAACTGGGAGTCATCACTTGTACTTTAAGTGAAGAAATTTGGGTTCGAGTTCTGGCTTTGGTACCAGTGCTTTTGCTTTAACATCCCCTCTCTAGACTTCAGTCTTCCTATCTATAAAATAAGGGGACTGGACTAGATGATGTCTAAGGTCCCTTCCAGTTCTATCCTTTTATGTTGATGATTCTCCTCCGCATGGTAGTGAGGACCAAATAAGATAATGGATGTCACTCAGTAAACAAGCATTTATTAAGTACCTACTAGGCACTAAGGGTTAGAAACACATGGGGGGCTCTTTTGGAAACTCTAAAGCAGATGTATCAAACACAAACCAGATTAAAATGTAATTGGGAAATATTTAACAAAATAAATAAAAATGAAACAACATAATGTTAATATGTGATTTTCTAAGTCAATGTGCAACCCACAAGAATGCAGCCCCCTTTGTTATTTGAGTTTGACACTGCCTAGAGGGTGCCGGACAATCGTTAGGCATGATAATTATCACTATTATTTTAATATCATTAACTAGTATTTTTAGAGTCTTTTCAGGGCCCTTCTTATAGAGAAAACTACCATTTAACAAAGTCCTTTGGAGAGTAGAGTATTTATGTAATGATGAATTTTGTTCCCTAATGGTGTGACATTGAAATTCCAGTTTGTCTTAGAAATGAATGGGAAATTCTCTGATGCCACTGTGCTGTCCTTCACTTTTTCTAGAAGACAGGATGTTATTCATATGTCCCGACAAGAGATTAGAAAAGGAAGGTATCATCATTTTATGCTCCTATTTTATATTGGAGATACAAAGACAAAAATGCCCTGCTCTCAAGAGGCTTACATTCTACTGGGGCACCAAATGTACACAAATTAATACCAAAAAAAAAAAAAAAAGTCAAAGCACACCATGGTAACTTATTTTGATTCAATCCTAACTTTCCATAATTTTCACATCCTGTCACATTTGTTTAACAATCTCTTCCCTTGATCCTGTAGCCTACCCCCTCAAATATTCACTCAATCCTCCCATCTCCTTTTGTCTGCTTCCCTTTTTTCTGTGCCACCCCCACCTCCTAGAAACAGCCTTGCAATTGTACATCACGTCACCTTTCTAAACCCCATCTATTCTAAAAATTTTCCAGTGCCTACCCCTGATCCCCCAGCCCACTATATTGTGACTGCTTTGTTCAGCATAACTATTAACAGGTGCCAGGTACCATGCATCAGGCTAGGGAGCAGGCATCAGAGATAACTGCCCCTAAGCTTGGGCTGGATGGTACAGAAGGGACAGGGAAAGAAGTCCTCCCAAGAACCCTCAAAGACCCAACCAACAGATCTAGCAATAACAAGTCATGGAAATTTTAGGGACAGCAAGAAGGCTACCTCCCACAACACAGTTAGATGACGCCTGAAATTGCAAATATTAGAGCTTCATTCCTTTGGTTTAAGACAAAGAGGAAATGCTGTCCTTTATTAAAACGCAAGCCCTCACCCTGAGAAAGTTCATCCATACTAAACTTCCTCAGGCATAGGCTAATAGGATGTTTTCTCCAAATATATTTGTATTTATTTCCTTATGTATTTCTCAATTACATGTAAAAAATTTTTTTTAACATTTTTGGAGGTAGTTGGGTTAAGTGACTTACCAAGGGTCATACAACTAGTAAGTGTCTGAGGTCAAATTTGAACTCAGGTCCTCTTCACTCTAGGGCTGGTGCTCAATCCTCTGTGCCACCTAACTGCCCCTTTAACATTTGTTTTTTAAAATTTTGAGTTCCAAATTCTCTCACTTCCTCCCTCCCTTCTTCTCCTCTCTCCTTGAGATGACGAGCAATTTGATATAGATTATACATGTGAAGTCATGTGAAACTTATTTCCATATTAGCAATGTTGCAAAAGAAAACACAGACAAAAAAAAAAACAAGAAAAATAAAGAAACTAAAAAAGGTATGCTTCAATCTGCATTCAGACCCCAATCAGTTCTTTCTCTGGAGGTGGACAACATTTTTCATCATTGGTCCTTTGGAATTGTCTTCAATCATTTTCTTGATCAGAGTAGCTAAGTCTTTCACAGTTGATCATCCTTACAATATTGTTGTTACTATGTACAACGTTCTCCTGGTTCTGCTCACTTCACTTTGCATTAGTTCACGTAAGTCTTCCTAGGTTTTTCTGAAAGCATCTTGCTCATTGTTTCTTATAGCACAGTAGTACTTTCCATCACAATCATATACCACAGCTTGTTTAGCCATTCCCCAATTGATAGGCATCCTCTCAATTTCCAGTTCTTTGCCACCAGGAGAAGAGCTACTATAAATATTTTTGTATATATAGGACCTTTTCCTTTTTGTTTTTTTAATCTCTTTGGAATACAGACCTAGTAGTGGCACTGCTAGGTCAAAGGGTATGCACAATTTTATAGCTCTTTGGGCATAGTTCCAAATTGTTCTCTGGAATGGTTGGGTCAATGCACAACTCCACCAACAGTGCATAAGTGTCCCAGCTTTCCACATCATCTCCAACATTTGCCTTTTTCGTTTTCTGTCATTAGTCAATCTGCTAGGTGTGAGGAAGATCATAGGATGTTAAGAACTAGAAGGAACCTTGGACATTATCTAATATACCACCTCCCTGATTTTATACATGAGGAAACTGAGGCCAGAGAAGGAAAGTGACTGTTAAAATCTAAACAGTTAGTTAGCATCAAAGCAAGGATCAGAACCCATATCTTTTTATCTCTTAATCCAAGGTTCACTATGGAGACACGGCCAGTGTGAAATCCATTTGATGAACCAGAGGGCTAGGAACAGGATGGTATCACAAACAGACTCGAGGACCTCCTCTAAAATTGCAGTGTAGTCCTTTTTGTAAATCAAGAGTTCTTAACTTTTTTGTGTGTTTTGAACTTCTTTTGCTAGCCACTGAAGCCAATGGATTCCTTCTCAGCATAATGTTTTAATTTTTTAAATTTTTTTTTATGGCAGTTGGGGTTAAGTGACTTGCCCAGGGTCACACAGCTAGTGCCAAATGTTTGGTCTGAGGCCGGCTTTGAACTCAGGTCCTCTTTACTTCAGGGCCAGTGCTCTATCCACTGCACCACCTAGCTGCCCCCTCAGTATAATGTTTTTAAATTGGTCAGCTTCATGATGCAACCATTAGAACACTGGACCTAGAGTCAGGAAGACCTGAATTCAAATCTGGCCTCTGATGTTTACTAGCTGTGTAGCCCTGGGCAAGGCATTTAACCCCTGTCTGCCTCAGTTAAAGCACTTACCTCCACAGGTCATTGAAACACTTTGCCAGCCTTAAAGCACTATATATATGCTAGCAATTACTATTAAATGCATAGGATTACAAAGGAAACTAATTATATTGAAGCACAGTTCTCAAATGGAAAACAAAAAGCAAGCTCACAGACCCCCTGTGAAGAAGCCCTGCTGTAAAGGGAGTACTGGTACCTGTTTCTGCCATCCTAACATGCACACCTTTCTCTCCACCCTGGTGTTTGCCTTGCAGATTGGAGACAGGAATGGAGAACTCACCGCTCGCATGAACATCGCCCAGCTTCAGCTGGCCCTTGGGGAGGATGCCAGTAGCAAGGCAGGGGACAGGCCTCACTACCCTGGCTATGAAGCTCAAGGTAGGTTCTTTCTGGGACCCTGCAGTCTCCATGTTGTCCAGAGAATGTGGGGTAGAGGAATGTTATGGACGCTTTTTATGCGGATGGGACAAGTGGGCATAGTCACTCGTTTGTACCTTTTTCATGAAACCAACCTGGCCAAACCCAACGTTAAACTAAAATAGGATGTTACCTTGTTGCAGCAAAACATAGGAAGGAAAACAGGAGCTGGACTCAGAGAAATAAGACGCCAGGATGGTTGGTGTCTTGTTTCAGTGAAGGAAATGAGGCAGATGAGGATTTGTACTTCATTTCAGCAGGAAGAACCAGGTACCACAGTGGCTTGCAATGAAGGGCAAGAGAGCTAGGTCATATACAGGACTTTGGTCTTTGTGTTCCCAAGATTTGGGGTCTCTGAGGGAGGGAAGGAAAAAACCATCTCCCCCCTCACTCCCTAGGAGCCCCCTGTGGGCCTGGCTGCTGATAGCTGCTGAATAGTGCCTTCCCCCTAAGAGTGAGCCCTGGGACCAGAGAAATTGCAGAGGACAGGGACCAGAAGAGCAATACTCCAAAAAAGGCTGTATGTGTGACCCCAGGCCAGATTTTGCTCCCCTGGATTGAGGGAAGCTCTGCTGGGGCTCTTGCTCTGTTCTGTGTATCACACCAAGTCATCTAGAATGCTGTGGCCAAGTCCATACCTGAAGTGTTATATGTGCAGCTCTAGCTGTCACATTTTAGAAAAGACAGTTAGAAGAACCCTGGTTCTGGAATCAGAGGATCTGGGTTCATGTCCTGCTTCTGACACTTGCTACCTGAGTGACCTCAGGCAAGTCAGTTAATCTCTCTGGGCCTCAGTTTCCTCATCTGTAAAACGAAAGAGTTATACTCGATGTCCTCTGAGGTCTTTTCCAGCCCTCGATCCTATAAAGCAACTGGCGACTGGAAAAACGTAGAGAGCAATGAGTGTGGTATAGAGGATAGAGCACTAGATTTAGGAAGACCTGGTAGCTGTGTGACCTTGGGCAAGTCACTTTATCTCTGTGGGCCTCAGTTTCCTCATTTGTAAAATAAGGGCGTTAGACTAAATGACATTGGAGGTCCCTCTCAGCTCTAGATCTATGATAACTGTAGTGAGGGGACTCAAAACTCCGTTGTATAAGAGTAGGCAAAGGAGATGGGGGTGGTTAACCTGGAGAAGAAAAGACTGTAGAGGGGCGAGGTGCAGCTTTAGACAACTATCTGAGTGGTTGTCACGTTGAAACGAGAGCAAACTTGCTCTGTGAGTTTCTGAAAATCAGAACCAGGACCAATGGGATAAGGCAGCATATTTCTACCTAATCTAAGAAAGAACTTTCTAACAATTAGAACTGTCTGAAAATAGAGTAGGCTGCCTTGGTAATGAGTAAGCCTGTTCAGCAGAGATGAAGGGCCATCTGTCAGGGATGCTCTAGAGGGGTTTCCTGTGCTGGGTGGGAGTTTTAACTAGATCATAATAATAATTCCTCACGTTTATAGAGAACTCCTCTGTTTTTAAAGTGCTTTTTACACGTGACCTCGGAGACTCTTTGAATTCTTAGCCTAGGAAGGACTCCTTTCAGGCCTGCTTTGGAGTCAGCTTCCTTTCACCTTCCATACCCCCCACCCCCATCAGTGCACAGCACCTGCTTGTACCCTGTGTTCTTGTCCATTGAATTTTACAAACATTTCATCTGTGATCTTCCCCCAAGAGCCTCCCAAAATCTCTTTGTTTCATATCCCCCACCATTAATCTGTAGGCATTTAATGCCTGGCGTTGAGCTAGGTACTGGAGAAATAAAGGCAAAAGTGAAACCATACCTGACCTCAAGGAGCTTACAGTCCAACCAGATGTGACAACATGTACATTGGCAGGAATAAACAGAAGATAGCAAGTTTGGAACACTGCAACATATCTCCTCCTCTACAAAATTCCCTTGTCACCCTCCCACCACTCTTAGGAAACCAGGCTTAGGGAGAGACTGGGCAGGTTGTTCCAGGAAGTTTTAGATTGCAAAGCATCTCACTTCCCCAGCCATTCCAAAGATGTCATGTCCAAAATGTCCATAGGGGAGCCCGTGGTGGAGGCAGGTGACCTTGTAAAAGTCCCTGCCGAGGTCACTGGAAACAAGAGTTCAGTTTTCCTTTCCCACCTTCATGGGGACAAGCGTGGAAGACAAGGCCAAGTTGTAGGGATGGATGTGCCTTCCCACTTGGAAATAAGAGTATGCAGTGGAGAAGGAAGTAAAGGATGCCTGGGAATGTGTATGCCCTGTTAATTAGGCAGTGTTTGGCATCCAAGCCCCAGCTGCCTATAACAACCTCATTCATTGGAACTGCCGCTGATCCATTTCCCCAGGTCAATTCTGTTCCCCGCACAAGTACAGAATGTTCTCCTGGAAAAAAAAAAGTAGAGGGAATAGAAGGGGGAGGTATGTGGAGAAATACAGAGAGGAGGAGTGAAAATGGGGTGGTAGAATCTGTGCGTGCTTCCTAGAGGAAAGGAAGGGCTGGGCCAAGTCAGAGAGCTCAGTCTTCCCTGTCATTCTCAGGAGGGTCACTTAAGGTGTTTGTTCAGATTTCTTTCCCTATAGTTTGGGATAAAGTGATGAGGTGTCTTCCAGGGCTTTCTCCCTGAAGACAGGGGTTCACACAAGGCCAAAGGAGCCGGACCTGGAATGGATCTGTAAACCCAGAACGATCCAAACAGTAAATCAGCGCTGCTGTGCACTGGTTGAGATGTCACACCTTGAGATTCTGCAGGGCCTTGTTGCTGCTCTCATTATTGCTACTTTGATTATGGGGGAAGGGGGCACAAGGGAAGAGACCAAGCATTTAATAAGTGCCTCCTACAGGCCAGGCCCGGTGCTAACTGCTTCCCAAATATTATCCCATTTTATCTTCACAATAACCCCTGGAGGTTGGTGCTATTAATGACCCCCACTTTATTTTATTTTATTTTATCTTTTAAGCTTTTATTTAATATTTCATTTTCCCCAGTTACATGTAAAAACAATTTTTTAGCATTCATTTTTAAAACTTTGAGTTCCACATTCTCTCCCTCCCCACCCCCATCAAGAAGGCAAGCAATTCCATTTAGGTTATACATGTGTAGTCATGTAAAACATATCCATAATAGTGATGTTGTGAAAGAAAACATAGATAAGGAAAAAACTCAAGAAAAATAAAAAAAGTAAAAAAAAACAAAGTATGCTTCAGTCTGTATTCAGACACCATCGGTTCTTTCTCTGGGGATGGATAGCATTTTTCATCATAAGTCCTTCAGAGGTGTCTTGGATCATTGTTTTACTGAGAATAGCTAAGTCATTCACCAGTGATCATCTTACAATATCCCTGTTACTTATACACAGTACATTTCACTTTGCAATTAATTCCCATTTTATAGTTGAGGAAACTGAAGCAGACAGAGGTTAAATGACTGACTGAGGATTACTCAGCTAGTACTATGTAAGTCCAGATTTGAACTCAGGTGTTCTTCACTCCAGGCCTAGTGCTCTATCCACCACGTCACCCAGTGTCTGTGGCACAATTTGGATGATTTCCACCCTAACTCAACACTACCACTAGAACCAGGCTAAGAGAATTTCTCTCCCCAGTTGACTATGAGTGCTAGTCTCCACCTGGAGGCCATCAGAATCCCTGCCCTGAGAAGGGCCCAGGAAGGAGAAACCGCGATTCCATGGAGGAGCTGTTCAGGCAGAGACAGTAGGAGAATAGAAATAGCAAAGATTCCTTTAGACTCTTCTCTGGTTGGAGGGAAACCCCAAAACTTAGAAGATAGCGTTCAATGGACAGATGCTATTCAGATGGGGATAAATGGCAGTTAGAATGGGTATCAGTAGAGGCACTATCTTGGGGCTAATAAAAACAGTAGTACTAATAACTGACATGATGCTTTGATGTTTACCTGGAAGTTTACATGTATCTCATTTGATCTGAGTTAACCTGGTCCCTGAGACATACTTTCCTGTGCCTTCCAGGGTAGGAGAAGGAGCACTTCTTGGTTCTTTTGGTATCTTAGTTCAGCTGTTAGGACTGGCACCAAAAAGGGGGTGGCCAGTGTCCCCCTGGCCAGCACCACTGCCCAGAGATGTCACGTTCCTCTATAGGTCTTGGCATAGGCATGGAGGAGCTTGCCAGCAGCAAGTAAGTGGGGGGATGGAGCCTATGCTTCTGGAAAACAATAGGTCTGTCACCAGGGGGCTCTCACAGACTCTCCATGTCACAGCAGGGTTTTCTTCTCAGACCAAAAGGAAAAGGGGGCGGCAGAATTTTAAAAAAAAACAAAAAACACTAGTATGTAGTAGGGGATAAAGCAACTGTCCCCTTTTCCTCAATACTTTACTCTGGTTCTGTATGACTCTCTGAGGGTGGCGGCTGGAGAGCTACAGTGGACTGGGGAGGGAGGGATGGAGGGTGGCCTTTCTATGGAAACAGCCTCCAGAATTCCTTCTTGGAGTCTGTGTCTTTGCCTGGGAGGACCAACTTTATTTTCAGCAGTTGAGATCCAGAGTGGATAGAAATTTCATCACATATTTGGAAAGAGGCTCATGTCTCCCTGGGAAGCATCAGTCCCTCCAAAAGAGGTAATGGTGGTTGGAAGAGTGCAAATAGAAAGTCTTGTCACCCAGACCACAGGGAGACAGTTCTAGAAAGTCTGGCCCAGAGAATGAGTCCTGAGGCTGGGTCGAAGGCCTAAGCTCTCCCTTGGACACAGATCCTCCAGGATGTCGAGAAAGAGCACCTATGTAGTCAGAAATCCTCAACACTACCATGGAAGATCAAGGTAGTGGTGTTCTGCCTACCAAGGTTATGTGGGTACTAGGTATGCTGTTTCCCCTTAACTTTTTGTGGGTAGCCAGATCTGAGGAAAGATAATAGGATCATGGACCAGTGGGGGGAAAAACATTGGAGCCCACAGAGCTGTGGTCTCTCCATCTCTAACCAGAAATCTTGGGCATCCTGTCCCTCCCAAAAGTTAGAGG